CTCTCTCTCTCTTCCTTCTCTCTCTCTCTTCCTTCTCTCTCTCTCTTCCTTCTCTCTCTCTCTTCCTTCTCTCTCTCTCTCTCTCTCTATCTCTCTCTCTCCTCTCTCTCCTCTCTCTCTTCTCTCTCTCTTCTCTATCTCTCTCTCTCCACTCTCTCTCTCCTCTCTCTCTCCTCTCTCTCCTCTCTCTCTCCCCCTCTCTCTCTCCAAGGTGCTATGCTTTCTAGAAGCGTCGGTGGCAGGACTACCTTTCTCACGGTGTTTAATTAGTTTTTCTGCTGTTTGCTCCTACTGCAAGGCTGGGCGGCTCCAGCCCTCCAGCTGTTGTGGAACTACAAGTCCCATGATGCATTGCAATACTGACAGTTACAGGCATGAATCCCAGAGGCAGAGGTATGATGGGATTTGTAGTTAAAGGACAGCTGGATAGACTGTGCTGTCACTCAGTGGCACATGGGTGACATTTCACATTTCCAGCTGCACACAGAGCGGCTACAAGTAATTTGTGTAGTCGTTTGGTAGCGAGCGCAGATTATGCGGGGGCATCATAGAGACATCATTAGATAGGAGCCAGCACAGCAAAGAAAGTTTTTTTTTTTTTTAGTTAGGGAATATTGGAAAACATTCCTGTAAAAGGCTGTGGCTGCACAGAACACTCATTAGATATTAAGACATAAGTGTGGCTATGTTTGTTTTTTTTTTTAATAACACTTTAAACAGAACTTTTATTTTTTTCATTTTAGCTAAAGTTTGTGTCCTGCTGGGGCTATTTCCCTTCACTTCATATCCTGAAGACGAAAGAGGGAGTAAAAGGAAGTCTTAAACTGAGGGAAATTCCTCTTTTGTAGCCGGTAGATTTTTCTTCTGTTGCAGTGACTGCGCAAAAAATTGGATTCCCCCCCCAATTTTCAGAGTCCATTCACACCACATCCAGATCATCACCAGACCCGATTGTTCCCGGACCATTCTAATGTATCCGTATGCTATTTCTGGCCTCTGTTCTCACCAGCGTAGTCTGTTCCACACCAAAAAAATACTGCTTCGTCCTATTTTGTCTGGTCTGGAATGCATACAAATGCACTGGAACGCACCATTTTAAGCAAAAATAAATACATTTTAAAAAAATTATCCAAATGCTACTAAATCGGGGCAAAACGCAATGCACTGCATTCCAGATCTGGTCTGGAAAATGGTGTGAACCTGCCCCCAGTCCTGGTGACCATGTTTCTTAGAACCCTTAAGTTGGGTATACATGGTTATATTTTCTTTGTTCAACCTGCGGGTTGAACAAAGAAAATTTTACAGATTCCTCCATTAATGGTTATGAGTGTGGATAGAGGAATCCTTTGCTGTTTTCATTGTATTCTGACAGCGGCTTGAATGCAGCTGATTGGCTGAAAGGCGTTTCAGCCGAGAATAGAAGGGTGCCGATGGGCACCCACTGTGTGAATTTCAGCCGGTTCATCAAGTACTGGCCAACATTTGCACTGTTTATACCCTACTTTTAGAGTGGGTCAGTCTCTCCAGGGAAGACAAAGGAAACAAAGTTTGGACAGGGGTCCTAACCGTTCACTGAAAAAAAAGTTTGGCCTATAGGGATGCACAGATACTTTTCGAGTACCAGTGCATATACTTGGCATTTTCATGAGAACTACCAGGGTTGCAGAGGTTGCAGCTGGGACCTGGCTCTGGCACTCCACCACTGTCCTGAAATCATTAGTCTGTATTGTTTTAGAAAAACTGTCACATGACAATAAACAAAAATGTATCAGTACTCGTACTTGTAAGTACTCGGCAAGTACCAGTACTCGTACTCGCAAAACTGGTATCTGTGCATCCCTTTATTTATATTTATAAAAACAAAATCGTACATTAAAACAGAGATGTGCAAATCCCGGGAGCTCCGTGTGCTCCTTACAAATGACAGCTGACTCCTAATTTTTGAATTTTTCTCTAGTCTAGTCTTGGAGCTCAAAAGTATCTGTACTTGTACCGAGTACTGTACTTGGTATCTGTGCAACCCTAGCCTATAATTATACTTTAAAGCGGACCTTCATCCATTAATTTACCTGCCTCTCATCTCCTTCCTCCCCTATCCCTCTTAGATAAACCCAAATAGCTTTAAATAAGTAAATACCATTTTTTTTATTTTTAACCTCCCTGGCAGTATGATTTTTTTTCCCAATATTTTTTGCTTTTTTGTGTCAATTTTTCCAGGGTTTTTTTTTAAATTTCTCGCTGATTTCGCCTCCCTGCGACGTGGCCGCTCGCAAGGGATGGAAGACGCATGCCGGCATCAGCCGGAGGACACAGCGCGGCTCGTAGGGAGAAGGTAAGTGAAGCGCTGTGTATTCCCAAGTGTGGCTCGGGGTTACCGCTTTTGGTACTGAAAATTAACCCCGAGCCACACTCGGGAATACTGCCAAGAAGGTTAATCTGGTGGTCTTTGCCTAGACGAGGATCACCCCTTCCCAGCTGCCTTGTGGAAAGACCATGTCACATGTCACAGGAGGCAGTATTTTAGTGTGGGGCACAGGCATGCTGTTAGATCCTGCACGTGCGCTGCTGCAGGTCTCTGCCAGATATTTGAGATCTGTGTGCACATGATCTTATAGCGAAAATAAGAAAGTCTCCTTGAAGAGGTATTGTAATATGGCTATGCAAGGGAGACAACCCAGGACCTCATGGAAAGTAAGCATGTTTCTTTAATTATAATACAGGGACAATTATTAGAAAGATGGAGGTACTTCCTCTTCTTTTTTTTAACAGGCAACGAAGTTCCTCATTCATTTTATCAGCCCTGGCACTTCCTTTTCAAGATTGACACTGCTCAACCCACCGCCTTACAATTCAATTCAATACACTTCACAGTTCAAATAATAGGAGGAGGAAGTGGAACTTGGGGAGTGAGTGATGTCACCAGAAGTGACACGTTCACTGCTGCAGCCATCGCAGAGCAGTTCACAGAATAACAATAAAGAAAACAGGAGATGTTTTAACACAAGGATATAAATTCGTTATTTGGGATTGCCTTGATTCCATGTGCTTTGATATTATGGGTTTACATCTACTTTATTACCTGTTCTGACTTCATGGCGATTGGATTGTGTAACTAGAACAGGGTGGTTGTACAACTTTTACACCTCTCATCTTCTTCTTGGACAATCGGCATTTGCCTTGACACATTCCATGGCGATTGGATAGAGGTGACAGGGGAAGGGCCTATTCATACCATTGCAGCGTGTTGAGTTAAGTCAGCCCATTAATTTGACTGG